AGATATAACTCTTGAGAAAAATTATAGCAGTTTTCCAATATTGAAGGGGTTCTACAAGAGAGCTGGAGAGGGACTTTTCACAAGGGCATGTAGTGATGGGACAAGGGGGGAATAGCCTTTAATGGAAGGAGGGTTGGTTTGGATTAGCTATTCGGGAGAAATTCTTTCCTGTGAAAGTGATGAGGCACTGGGAAAGGTTGCTCAGAGAGGTTGCATACTCCCCCTATGTGGAGGTGTTCAAGACCAGGTTGGACAGAGTTTTGAGCAGCCTGGTCTACTGAGAGGTTCCCTGCCCTTAGCAGGGGTTAGAACTCGATGGCCTTTATGGTTTCTTCCAACCCATTCTACAATTCTGTGTAATTACTGTATCTGTGTTCCTCACGCTGCACTAGTGGAATTTCTCAGCAATGACCTGCACTGTCACACATCTAAAACTACCCAAGACTAGATGGGAGACTAGGAGACTGAAGGTACAAAAGCACTCAGAGCCAACACATAAATATTTTAAATTAACAGTTCTGGTTAGATTTACTGCTGATGATCGTTTTTACAAAGGTAATCCATTTAGCATTAAATGTCACCAGTACTGTGTGTGTGTGTGTGTGTGTGTGTGTTTGGACTCTTGTCGTGGGCCATGATTCTGTTCTGCTGAACTGTGCTGAGGCAGAGCCTGTGACTGTCAGGTGTACATATAAAGGATTTAGTGGAGGTGTAGTGTATCAATCAACAGTTTTCAATCTGTGCATAAGACAAGCTATAGAAGAAGTTTAAGGAGTGTAAGGTCTACTCAGCCAAACCACACAGCCCCAGGAGAGACCAGAGCACCAGCACATTGCTGCCCTCATATCTCGGATGCCTGAGAGGCCTGAGTACAAGCTGTCCTTACGTCAGGCTGCTCAGCTGGTGTCCACAATGGGACATGTACTGTGGTTGCCAGTTCTCCTCAGGCTGTTTTTTTGCAGCAGGGTCAGGCTGGCTCAGTCAGCACAAAGTCACATTCATGCACTGGGAGCCTGATGCTTCTCAATCTTCTTTGGGGCTACAATAGTTTGAGAATTTTTGCAAGCATGATCTGCCCTTGAAATTTCCTTTATCTGGTCTCAGTAAAGTAACAGTGTCCTATTTCAGTAAGGCTTTTAAAACAAATATAGGACCTCTTCAGTCAATAGAGGGTGCTGGGATTTACTTTTAAAAGTACATAATAGTGTTTTAAGGTCCTTTTGCCTGCCTTCTCAGTACTTTCCTCTCTCTCTCTGTCATACTTCTAATAAAGCGCTCATCTAGATCACAGTAAGGGTCCTACCACAAAGACCTACCCTTCTTTTTTTTTTTAAATAAAAATGGCTAAAAGGAGAAGTTCCCTTTTTACTAAAACTCCTTCTGTGTGGTAAGTTTTTGAGACCAGCCTTAACATTTTTGTATGTTTTTTCTTCCTGGAAGGCATACCGGTGCAGTAAGAATGTCTTGTATTTTTAGGCATTTTCCAACTTTCAGATCTGAGTGAAAGTCCTACTTATGTCTCAGCTTCATATCAGCACAAGACTCTGGTACTTGCTACATCCTCCAGCACGTCACAGACAGAAGGCTGTAGACAGTTTCAGAAATTTTCCTTCCTAAACACCATAAACATCTTGGAGGTATAGTTAGTTCTGCATAGCCTGTGAATTTTCATATATTACCTCTTAAGACTTAAAGGCTGGCCTTAGATGCCTCCTTCCTCCATCCATAAAGTTATAATCTTATGAGGACCATTGATTTTTCAAATTAATGTTCTGTCTTCAATTCCCACCATGGTGACAGTAAGTTTGTCCTCTTATTTGCACCATGGAATTTTTCCAGGAAGAACAACACTAACTTTGCCAATGGAATGGGGAAGGAAAGGAAAAGCCAAATATTATTTATCCCCATAGCCTGGGGGTGTAAAAAGAGACTGAGACTATCATATTCCTTCTTTTTTTCTTTTAAAGCATTTCAATCATGATATTACTGTATAAAAGATTAATTTCTAGCTTGGGGTTTTTCTTTCTCTTGTGGACTTCAAAAACTTACTGAATTTAAATAGGAAGATAAAAAATATTCTCTTAACTGCTACAGCACAAACTGCAGCATATTAAATTGTCCAGATGTTTCTCATGGTGTGAACAATCAGAACGCCTGACAGAATGGAAAGTCTGTGCGTGCATTCCATTGGAATACACAGTTATAAACGCCAGCTGAAGGGAAGCAGAGGAAGCTCCATCTCTGTCCAAAATCCCCGATGGTGTATCACTATTCTTCCTGTTTCTTCATGACACCCTTAACTCAATCAGCTTCTTATGGATGTATAGCATCAACTTGTTTTAGTTCCCCATAACCAAAGAAAATACAGTGAGATCCTTGAAGTATGGTTCCACTTGGACTCTAAGTCCAGAATGAAATCAAGTCAGGTTTTCAGAGCAATGTCTCCTATTTTGAGGAACCTTAGGGGCTTCTTCTCTGGTACCTACCTATTGTCATCTTTCATTATTTCCTCATCCCATACAGAGGAATTCCTCCTTCTGGGTGAGCATGCCACTGTAGCACCCTCATAAGAGCACTTGTAATGCTCAGCTTGTTGGGCATGCTGAGCAGCTCTTGAACTGCACAGGAAAGGCTGCAGGACTGGCTGATCAAACTCTTACACAGACATGGAAGGGAGCTTTTTTGGGGTGTTCAGTGAAGCATGCACCATGGTAGTGATACAGTGTTCTCTGAGATACTCAACCACTTCTGCTTTCGGCACTGGTCTTACAGAGGTTATGCCTTTCTGTCCTGGCAGAGCAGTATGATTTGCAGATTATGGGATTCTTCTATTAATTAATCCTTCAAAAATAAGAAGGATTTTCCACCTTCTTTTCTGCAAAACTTCTGATTATACTGAGAAAGGACTGTGTATGGAAAACAAAGTGGTCTCATTTATGACTGCCCAGCAAACACATTTCTTTTAAAGGACTTTATAAATATCCAGGCATTCAGGCTGTGCATAACTCTGGATGAGGGCACAAACTCTGTATATCAGAGCAATACACTCCATAGAAGGGGAATTACACATCTATGCCAGGTGGAGTGGGTTGCAAGTAAAATGAACACCAGTCCTGGAAGACATATCTAGACTGCTTTTGGATGAATAATTACAGTCGGATGAAGCACATTTTTAATTTTTACATTAACTTTGTTACATTAAATTGACATGTTTAACATTTAAGATCTTAATTGACTCATCAGAAGACTGATAGTGATCTGATTTTGTGTGGTTTTGTCAAGTGCATTTTCAAGGTGAGTCCGGTGCTGTTATCCATTCCTGCTTCTCATCTGTGCTGTAAGGCAAACGCACTCTGAAGGGTACAGAAGTCCACAGTAGGCCTATGGGAGTGTCTACTCAGCAGTATCAGGTATGAGATTTATTCTGGTTCCCTGAAATTATGGATTGTGACAATTTTGTATCATTTCAAACCTATTTGTCAGTTAGCAAAAATGTGCAAAACACACGCATTGCAAAATGAGTTTTTTCCCATTGATTACACCCCCTGAGGTATTTTCTGCTCACTTAGCAGACACTGTTTACTGCATTTTCAAAAGCACCAGAGAATGTAGAAGTCACAGACTTGACATTTTCTCTTATTCTTTATGAGTACTGCAGGCAGCCATTGATCCAGCAGGATTACATGAAAGACAGCTACAAAAAAGGAAAGTTTTAATCTATCTGACATGCCTGAAGGGTGTACCCAAGGACTATACTGCTGTGTATAGTCTTGCTTCAGTAAGAAGAGAAACCACTTTTGCACTGAAACATTCTCTTAGTTCTGCCACCATGCAAACTGTGGGAAAACACTGAAGTGTTCTGATGTGCCATGGCTTCATTTGCTCAGTGTCTGATATTAGACTGAGTCAGAAAATATCTTTATTTTCACCTGACAGACTGATGGAATAAGCACTTTTGATTTCTGCCTTTTAGTCAAATTACTGTGCTGTGCTTCTTCGTATCAATATCTTTCACATTAAATAAAAGCCATACATAATGTTGCTAAATATAAAGGCAATTCTCTAGTAAAAATTCACAGTATACATGACTTGACACATATCACTTTTGGATATACACACTTTAACACTGGATATATCACTTTTACACATATCACTTCTGCATGGGGACTGCCAAACAGTTCCCTAGGTTTAAGATTTATGCCAGGGAGCTTGAACTGGGCAGTTTGGGTTTACAGAATCACAGAACAGTCTAAGCTGGACTCACAAAGATCATAAGTCCAGCTCTTAGGTGAATGGCCCATCTGGGGATCAAACCCACAACCATCACATAGTTAGCACGATGCTCTGACCAACTGAGCCAAATGGAAATGTTCTTCTCCTCAAAACCAGAAAATTTCTGCCATTAAGTAAAATATCTGATTTTTCTCTGCTTTTTTTTTTTGCTTAAATATAACAAATAATGTATTTTTTCTTAGAAGGTTTATAATTTTGTTTTGTCACATAAAATGTGATATATTTTCAAGGAAAAAATGTCAATATCTTTTGCATAATTTCTTTTCTTGGAAGTAATTGCCATTTTTAAGACAATCCTAGTGGAAAGCATCACACAGGACAGTTTGGTTTCTAGTTGTTCTTTGTTGGTTTTGTGCTTCTGTGAGAATTATAGAAGCCAAATGAGATGAATAAATGGATTTTTAACAGGCTTATTACAATGAACACTTGCCAACATGTTCTCAGCTTGAAACAAAGAGCTCTTAAGATTTAATTTTTAGCTGCCTTTCTCCAAAAGTAAAATTTAATCAGAACCAAATTATACTGAAATTGAGGTAGCTGCTGAGGTAGTGCAATGGATACTCAGTCCCATATGGTCTGATTTATAATTCACAAGAACTTTGAAGAACTACCTTATTGTTTTCTCTATATTTATATGCATTTCCTATTAACATACATTAGAATTGCATGGCTGCTTTGCATGTATTTGAGAAAAAAAATTAAAAATAAAGTTATATAAGAATGTTTATTTTACTATATATTTACTATGGCTTTACACTACTAAGAATAAACATGCATAAATTGATGTTATATTTCAGGGCCTGAGAGTTTCTGTTGAAAAGATAAAGAGGAAAGTAAGAAAATCTTCCAGGAAGACCAGTATCACCTTCATTCCTTTGTACAAAAAAACCTTCCTAGAAAATACAAAACAAGGTTTCCTATTTTGTACTCACACCAATGTAAGCCCAAAATAATGTTTCTAAACTCATGATTTCCAGTTATTCAAGACTTAAAATTAGGTTTTAACAAATATCTCTAAGCTATATGTGAATCCATTAAAATAAAATTTATTAAAAAATCCCCAACAATAACAAAATAATACAGAGATCCAGACTATTTTCTTACCTCCACCATTTTTCTTTGATGGAATTTCTGATGCCTTTAAGGGGTTTTATCTGAGATTTTTAATTAGTTACATGACTAGAATAGTTCTCTTAACTGCTAGAGCACAAACTGTAGCATATTAAATTGTCCAGATGTTTCCCATGGTGTGAACAATCAGGAAATGTTAACAGTTAAATGGAAATTATTTACCTACCTGATTAGCATTTCCCATAAAATAATTTGATGTTGTCTTAGGTTAGTTTGTTAAGCTCAGGCTTTTTTCTCAAAAAATAATTTTTTGTTTTCAAAATGGTTTCTGTAGGATAATAATTTATATTTTAAGAACAATTTTCTGGATGATCAATATGATGACAAGGTTTGGCAGGTTAGCTAAATGGCAGTAAGGTAACAAGTACTAAATGTTGTGTTATGACCTCAAAGTCTTGCCTTCTTCTCCATAATGGAAAGCTCTTCTGAGTTCCTGTCATTCTCTTAGATATAAGAAACTTAAAAACATATTTATTGGATCTATTTTCTCCAGTTACACATCTGATTTCAAATCTAATATGTTATGGGAATTGCCAACAGCTCTGCTTGTTGGCAGCTGAACGTCACTGAATGCTGATACTGTACATCACCACATAACTTCTCAGATCAGACCTGCGTCTACAAACCAAGCACTGCCACAGAAAGCTGATGAGTGTTCCTAAAGAGAAGGAAAGACTCTACAACCCACCATGTAAACAATAATTGATCTGCAGCATTCATACACCCATAGAATTCTTAAGGTTAGAAAAGACCTCTAAGATCACCAAGTCCATCCGTCAACCCAGCAGCGCCACCATGTTCACCCCTAAACCATGTCCTGAACTGCTGTAGCCACGTGTTTTCAGAACACTTCCAGGTCTGGTGACTCCACCAGTTCTCTGAGAAGTCTGTTTCAAACCCTTTACAAACCCTTCTGTAAATTTTTTCCTAATATCCAATGTAAAGCCTCCCTGGTACACCTAATTTGAGGCCATTTCTTCTCATCCTGTCACAGGTTACCAGGGAGAAGAGACCAACACTCACCTGGCTGCAATCTCCTTTCAGATACCTGTGGAGAATGATAAGGTCCTCCTTGAGTGTCCTTTTCTCCAGGCTAAACACCCCCAGCTCCTTCAGCCACTTCTCATAAGATTTGTGGTCCAGGTCCTTCACTAGCTCTGCTGCTCTTCTCTGGACCTCATTCCATTATCTAAATGTCTTCAATTCAGTGCTTGATTATGTACTATTAAAAGCTACCAAAATCTGTGGTCCATTTTTTTTAGCCCAATTTAGGCTGCTACTCTCATTATAAAATAATCATAAAACTGGTCTTCTTTGAAGACCAGTTCAGAAATTGGTTAAATTTCTAGCACGTGCTTGCCTATTTGGGAGTCTCACAGGGTGTGATCATCATCATGCTGGTTTTCTCATGCATACTGTGTAAAAGGATCATTTCCTCCTCTCTGCACGTAGTCTCTGTTCTCTATTGCACTTGCAGGCAAAAGACTCAAACTGGGAGTTTGCATCTGCTCAGGTTTTAATAATATTATTCCGAAATACATCTTAATTAGCTGATTTTCTGGTCAGCTGCTGCTAAATCCTTTCCAGGTATAAGCTGATTTGAAGCTTTGATGTTTAATTGAAATGTATTTTTGAGCCTGTTGCTAGTACTGGTCAGTACACTGGAAAATGCAGCCTTACTTCTTGTGATATGAACTGCCAAGGTGATGCAGATACTTTTTTTCAATAAAGGCTAAACCCATAAAACTGCTCTTCTCTGTAAGCAGCACACAAAGCATTCAAAAAAAACATAGTAAAAGGTCAATTTTCAAGTGGCAAAGCGAAGATCTCCAAAAGAAGTAAATACTGGATTTACAGTGATCCTTACTATGTTTATGTCCTTCCCTGTGCAGTGCATAAAGAGAAGTCCTGTGGAGTGGAAGAGTTTGTCGTCCTAGAAGTAATGATATCAATAATGTCTCACTTAAAATAGACACACCACTGATTTTAGCCTTTTCTTCTTTGTCTGTGCTCTGATATACAGCTGAGCCAGACTGCTAGAGCAACCAAATATCATAAAACCATGGAAGGGACCTTAAAGATGGTCTAGTTCCCAATCACCCTGCCATGGACAGGGACACCTTTCACTAAACCAAGTTGCTCAAAGCTCTATCCAACTTGGTCATGAACAATGCCAGGCATGGGATATCCACAACCTCTCTGGGAAATCTTTTCTGGTGTCTCACCGTTTTCTTTCAGTTTGATCCCATTCTCCTTTGTCACCATATGATCTGGTAAATAGTGTCTCTCCAACTTTCTTGCAGGTTTTTTCCCTTTTACTCCTGGGACTTTACATAACCACCATAATTTTTCAAATATCTTAGGAAACAAGATCTTTGAAAAGGAAACATATTTTCAAACAAACGTAGGAAAGTGACTACATCAGTCAATTCCCTCAGGACTCTGGGATGTGTCTCATTAGATCCCATTGACCTACATTCAAGCTCCTCAGGTGGTCATGAACTGATCTTTACTTACAGTGATCTTCACTTCGCTCCCCCCATCCTCATCTTGCTCTCTGTCACCTTGAGATATGTAGGAAGAGAGGTGCTATTGAAGACTCAGGCAAAGAAGCTGTTGGGTACCTCAGCCTCCTCATTTGTTGCTACGAGTTTATCAGGGGCAGTACACCTTCTTTGACTTTTTTTTTCTGGTTAATATACCTGTAGCAGATCTTCCTGACATTTTTGTGTTCCTTGCCAAGTTCAGTTACAGCTTCACCTTGGCCTTTCTCATCTCCTCCCTACACAACCAAACTTCATCTCTACACTCTTCAAAGGTTACCTGTGGTTATTTATACCATCTATGTATGTGCTTCTTTCCCTGTAGTTTGACAAGCACTTCTCAACTCAGCCATGCTGATCCCTTGCCTCCCTTGCCCTATTTCTTACTCCTGGGGATTGCTAACTAATTGCACTCTGTAGAAGACACCCTTAAAAATATACCAGCTCTGTTCCACCTAGCCCATTGTCCCTGAGGGCAGTATCCCAGGTATCCTGCTGACTATCGCCTTGAAAAGCTGAAATTTTGCTTTCCTAAAGTTCAGGAGTCTGACCTTACTCCTTATTTCACCCATATTCCTAAAGAGAATATGTGGCCCAGACTGCCTCCAATCTTGATATCCCGAGCTATCTCACTGGCATTGGTTACCAGCAGATTCAGTAACATCCCCTCTGGTAGGGCTATTACCTGGATCAAGAGGTTATAATGGTGTTCATATCACTCCTGGGGCAACAAAGATGGTTTAGAACACTGTCAGAACACAATCATTCCTTCACTGTATGGAAATCTACTATAGTCCATGTGTTTTATTTGATCTGTATCTGTGTGAAAGAGATAATAATGAAATATGTTAAACACATCAGCTTTTGCCATCAGAGGAAAAAAAAGCAAACCGTATGTAGACATAGGAGAAGCATTTAACAGAGGCTGATGCACAGTGAAAGCTATAATATTTGCCATTGCTGGCATTCTCTTCTACAGGTAGATACTCCTCTTCTACTGACAGTTCCATTCTCCACAGTCACAGAATCAGATTGAGAAAGCTGCTGAAGACTCACAAGCCCACCCAAAGCTATGCTGTGTTTTTCTGAAATGTGTGCACTGTTACAGAGGTTAATAAAACTGCTCTCAGACAGGTAAAGCTGATGGGAGCTCAGCAACGTTTAGTTGTGGACATTGGGATGCTCAAAAGTAAAAGTACTTTGCAATTTTTATAATTGGCAGTGTTTTTAAATCATATTGCTTATATTGAGATCATCTGCCCTTTGCTCTGAGTGTAACTCCAGACTTTCACATTTCATAAAATACAAATTCTAGTCTGGCTTTTCTAATCTTCTCCCTATATAACCTTGCAATATCGTTATAGTCCTCACAAATTACCTGACCCTCCTTTGAGAGATGTTAGATTCTCTTTTTTTCCCCAAAATTCCAGCCCAAGTTCTCTGTTTATTCAGGCTGGTATTTTTCCCTGATGACTTGTCTTTCTATAGCTGGGGGCAGTCTGGTCCTAAATATTTAACAATTCCTTTCTAAATCACATCCAGCCTTTCTAAACTTCTTTACACTTCAGAACTGACTCCTGAACTGACCACTAAAGGGACTCTGTAAATCAATGTTATAAGCAGGCCAAAGTCTGCTCTTCCAAGCTCTCTTCCAAGGTGGAAGTCCTGTTGGTGCCTCTCCTTATTTGACCCATTGAAACTCTACAATCTCCTGGCCACTGTGTCCAAGATAACCACTGACTACAAAATCACCCACCAGTCCTTCTGTGTTCACAAACAAGAGGTCTAGCAGGACACCTTCTCTGGTAGGTTTATTGACCAGTTGTGTTAGGAAGTTGTCTTCCATACACTCCAGGAACTTCCTAGATTGTTTTCTCTTTGCTGTGTTGTGTTTCCAGAAGACATCTGGCAAGTTGAAGTCACCCATGAGTACAAGGGTCAGCAATCATGAGACTTCAGCCAGCTGCTTGTAGAATGACCCCTCTACCTGTTCATCCTGGCTGGGTGGAATAAACTCCAGACTCCCACCATCCTGCTGTCCGCCCTGCTTCCTTCCTCCTGATCTTTACCCACAGGCACATCCCACCACCCCTCCTGCTTTCCCTGTGTCTTCTAAAGGGCTTAGAGGTATCCATTGCAGCGCTCCAGTCATGAGAGTCATCCCACTATATTTCCATGACAGCAAATACATAACTTTCCTGTTGTACAATGGCTCCCAGCTTCTTGTGCTTGCTGTTCATACTGCGTGCATTGGTGGAGATGCACTTCAGCTGGGGTAATGGTTTTGCCCTCGTCACAAGCCTGCTACCCCCAGACTGATCTCTAGTAGCCTGGTCTTATCCCTTTCCTCCTCTGAGCATGGCTCAATACCTTTCAATCAGCCCTGCTAATTCCTGGGCCATAGTTTCTGTGAGTCTGCCTTGACTAAGTTGAGAAAAATATCTATGTTGCAAAAATCTGTCCTGTATTCAAAGTGAAGTGCCTTTGTTGAAGATAATTATCACATCACAGTGTAATGCTAAATGAGATCTCTCAGGTTGGTTGAGAATTTGACCATACTGACATTTCAGGATTCAGCAGTGTATGTTATACTTCTAATATTGATAGGGTGAAGTGAGAAGATGCTATCAGACTTACATTGTACTAGCTCTAGTCTACAAAAAATAAATGTCTTACACCGATGAAACAGTAATTACCTCTATTCTCTCATTTTTCAAAGACTAAGAAAGAATGGTAGTTTTCTCAATCATTGCAAAAATATTTTTGAAAGAAGCCATCTTGAAACTCAGGAGAGGAAGATAGAAAAGAACTGATGTTCCTGAAATAAGAATATTTTTATAACAGGAAAAAAAAATCAGATGGCATTTTAACAACTATTTTGGCATAGATCTCAATGCGGTATATTAAAAGCTGACATGATCTTATTTGCAGATTTTCTTTGTTCCTTTGACTACAGTTAGAAGAAAATACTTCATAAAATGCATTCTACTATCATTTTAATTGTTAGCAAGCAGAGTTGTCTGAAAATAGCTTTATACATACAGCTTATATACAACATGTACAAAAACACAATAACAGACACTTCCAAAATGTGCACAGGGGGTTAGCAACACTCCTAGTAAATCTCCAGAGAGATTAACTCATTCCCCCATGCCATGCTACAAGAATTTGAAAGGAGCTATATAAAATTTAGTTTACTTACTTGAAACAGACTTTGCATATTAGGTCTGGGATATAATGAAGCAAAACCGTGCTGATTTCCTGACAAGGAGTTATAGTCTACCTCTGAACACCTTCCCCTCTCAACAAAAAGGAACAGACTGTAGCTTTCCATTGTGCCAGAAAGCTGGTTCATGCTGTCCATACCACACACAGCAATTTAAGACATTGCAGGGGGAGAGCATGAATCAAACAGAAACATCAAATCTACTACAAATTAATTACTATTTTTCCAGTAGGGCACCTGTACCATCTGGTAAGGTTCACATCAGAAAAATTCATTTTGGAAATAAAAACTACAATGGATTTAGAAGTACTGTGAAAGGCTATGCAGTGTAGAAAGATTGTCAAACAAAATGAGGAGCAGGGAACCACAAAAACCCCAGCAGAAATAACAGAAAACTTGATCACAGTCAATGATAAACACCAAGAATTGACAAAGGAAGACTTTAAGCATTAGTGCTTTGCAGGTGTTAAATATTTGTGAGTGAAAACCACTTGAGACTGATCAGAAGAGCAGGATCCAAAACTTTGTCTGGCATCCAGGAAGAACTAGTGATATAAAACTAAAAGTACTTCTGAGAACAGGTGGGCATGTTCTCAGAAGTAAGGCAAGAAGAAAGAGAAGAGGCAAAATGAAGAAAAAGAAGGATGAGGCAGTGTTAGGCAGTTATGGATGTGTCCTGGTTCCAGCCAGAAAAGGGTTCATTTCTGCAGTTGCCAGGAGGGACAGGACCAGGACCTTGGGGTTACTCTATACCCTCTCATGCCAAAGCAAGGGGCAGGGGAGGGATGGGCTCCTTCCAATCAGGCCAATGGTGAATTAAGTGGTCCAGGAAGCGCCAGGTTGCCTGTGGTAAGTGATTGCATATGAATCCTTCACTCCTTGTTATTAATTTTAATAATACTTTGTTATTAATATTATTGTTGCTACTGTTTGTTGCTTATTTCATTGCTGTTTCTAATAAATTGTTATCATCTTAACCCTTGATATGTACCTTTTGTGCCTCCAATTTCTCCTCTCCACACCACTGCAGGGGAGAGGGAAGTGTGGAGTGAGACAGCAGCACATGGTTTGGAGTGTTTCAGTGGGAACACTAAACTGGGGAATTCCATTCCTAAACTATGACAAAACAACCACTTTCTTAGCCATTCCACATAGATTTAGAATTCATGTTAGTCATCTCCTTTGTATAAAGACTTCTAAGGAGCCACTGAAGCCACAGGGCAACTGCAACCAGCTCGGGTAGGTCATATGGAGCCAGTCTAAACTGAACTTAGCAAGTTTTCTCATTTGAATGCAGCACACAACTTTAAGTGCATTACATCCTCCTATAGGTTTCACCAGCTAGACCTTGCTGGTTGACATTAAGAACTTCAATCTGTTCCTTTCCCTGTTGAGTGGTTACAACTGGGGATTTTTTTCCTAGATAATTAGCTAGAACACTTACAGTTTACATCAATATAAGTTCTCATTGCTTTAGAAATTTGGGTAGGGATATAACTAGTCTTGAAAAAAGAGGAATTGCAAAAGAAATTTTGAACTTCAGGTGATGCACTGAGTTACAAACAGAACTAAATAAGTGCAAGTGTATTATTAAGGACAAAGGGAACAATGAACAGATACACTGCATTAGCACTTCAGCTTTTGAAATTATAAGACTAGCAACTAATTCCAAAGTCCAATCTAAATTTCTAGTGTACTCTCTAGTATTCACCTTAGAGAGGTCACTGCAGAAGAACAGGATACAGTGTTGTGACAGAGACAGATCTGTGCTGCAGCAGTTCCACCCAACTGTAAAGAAAAACATACTTAAAATTATATTTGGCTCACGAACTGACCAGAAAAAAATTACTTCCACAAGGTGCCTTTGTCTGCAAATTACTGCCCCTTCTAAGAAAGACACTGTGAGCACCTTCTCTCTGGAGCTCAGACATGAAAGCTAACCTCTCACCTGGCTTGGGAATGATTATTTGTCAGTTTCTATCCCACTCTGTAAGGGGGGATTCAGCTCTGACACCCTTCTTCAAACTTTTATATGAACAGCCTTGTACAAGTAGTGGCAATAAGCTTCAGTCATTGTGTCAATTTGACTACCTGTGCTGACATGTGAGCTGATTAAAGAAAAAATAAATTAAAAATAAAAGTTTAATGGAATCCAAAATGTCCAACAGTCTTAATCATCAAAGCTAGCACACACATAACAGAACTAAAGTCATGCAAACTCTATTAAAGCAATACATGACCCTGGATCAATATTCAGTTAAAAATACATATTTTGATATCAGAAAATCTATACTTTTTAAAGCAATGTTTTATCAGATACACTGCTTTCCTTTATGTAAAACATATATCAGCATCTCTTTTAATGTACAATATTATGTCAGTCAGTTTTGTTTTCTCAATTAAACATACTATTCACTTCTAAGAGTCAGATGGTGTGAAATAACCTCATATTGGCCAGAATTTAACAGAGCCTCTCTTCTGAGGACTGTCTAAGAACAAGAGCCAAAAGTGACTTACAAGCTGCAAAGGAAAAGTTCAGATTTGCTTGACAGTCAAAAATCACACTCATTAGATCATAACGACATTTCTTGTTTCAAGTTGTGCCCATTCAGTTGTGTCATGGTAGTCACTGTGTTCCTGGTATTGCTTTTCAGGGAAGTCATTTGAATGGCAGAAGAGTTGCACAAGTAGCTGGCAGATCTCTCTTTCTGAGCTTTCTTCCTGCAGCAGAGCTGGTTGTTGAAATGTCTTCTAAAACTCTCACTGAGGAAATACAGTGCAAATGGGTTGACACAAGAGTTGCAGAAGCTTAGAACTCGGGCCACTAAGGTAACAACCATATGTCCCATCGATGGATCAATCTTATTGTAATTAAAGGATCTGTACATGTATAGCACGTGGTTAGGAAACCAGCAGATAGCAAAGAAGCCAACAAAAACTAAAACAATTTTTGCCAGACGCTTCCGAGTTTCCATCTAAAAAGATGAAGAGAACCCAAATGAACAACAACACACAGAGCCATCCCACATAACAGGTTTCATTAAAATATGGAGCATTTTCCTGTATCAGCTTCGGCAATTGTCATGAGTAAGGCCAGCAAAAACGCTTCCTTCAGGGCCTGAATTACTTTTGCTATCTCATTTGCTTTTCCTCTTTCAGTTAACATTCAGTGAACTCTCTTAGCTGTTTGCAGTTACAGAAGGTTGCTCTTTCTATATGATACACACAGCAAGGGTGATTCATGACCCCAGGAAGCACTGGCTTTTAGCCTGTAAGCATGCACCAAAGGGTGTTGTGAAACATAACCTTTTCTGATGAGATCTCAGTGCTTGGCTTGAAACTTAAGTTTTAGTTAGGAAGCTATTTAGAAATAGGTTCTGGCTTCAAAATCTAGAGGTATCCTTCGATCCACATGACTAGGGTGTTAGCTACACAGTGATACTTATATCCCTTTGTTTTTCACTGAGGATCCCAGCTTGCACCTCTCTCCTGGGGAAACCACCAAAATTGTATTACGCCATCTAAAGGATCTTAATTCCAGAGTAAGATGGAAGGTTCCATTAATTGCAATAACATCACAAAATGTACCTTAATTGCAGTGCTAAGGCATAGCAGATTACATTGTAGATACTGAGAATGGCTGAAAAGATGGCACAATAAGAGCCTACACAGAGGTTCCAAACTGAGAGGGGGAGATAAACTGGCTGGGTAGAAGGCCCCAAAGAGAAACAGAAAGTTTCCCCATATTTCTCCTAAAAGATTTGTTGTGTATATCAGGTATGAAAGTTTTGCAGAGGAAGGAAAGTTTTCTACTCTGCTCAATTTTCTGGGGGAAAAAAATCCAAACAAGTGAATTTATTCTAACATTTTTTTCAAAATCTGTGAAATTAATCTTTAAATTGTTTTCTTGGGTCTATCAAAACAAAAAACTGGGGAAATCAAAATAGATGGGAAAACTCCAACATTCAAATTTGGTAGCATTCGCACTCAGACAGATTGCTAGAGCAGACTAAAAGGTGCAGAAGTATAGTGTGAATATCACACTTGGCTTAAAGAAACATGAACTGATAGCAATGGCCTGAATTTATTTCCTCTTTCTGGGAGATATGTAAGTCCACCAGAATTTTCTATTCTTCAGAGCCTCATAGATTAACAAAGAGAAAAAAAAAAAAAAAACTAAGTAGAATGAAAAAAATGTATTCTTACTTTGAAAATACACGTGAATTCAGAAATGTGGTATAAATTAAATATAGTTTCCATCCAGAGGGTTCAGCCAAAAGGCTCTCTATATTTCACAGGGAAATAAAATAATACATGAAGTGCTAATATATATGCACTTTTGACAAGAAACAGACTAGAGTAGAAATGAAATGTTGCTCAAAATGGACGTAAAGGAACGTAGTCTTTTAAAAAGAATGCGTGCATGCAAAGAAATTTCTGAGAGTATGAAAGTAGTTTTCTAAGTTACTGGCAGAGAAAAGAATTCAAAACTGTTTAAATTGGCATAATTATTTTTCTCTATCAATACTAATGCTTTTGCAAAGCAGCTGAGGCACTTTCACTGCAAAAGCTGTTGTTTGTACATATGTGTGTTCCTGCTAATGTTACTATCTTGTTGCTTCCTGTGCCTCACGGGGAAGATTGGCTTTGCCTAGCATTTTAAAATGGTTTGTCTCAAAGATATACAGAATCTATACCAGGAGTTTTATAGCATCTCTAACAGAAAAGATATTAGAAAAGTGCAAGTTCAGTACTGTATCCAAGTAAAAAAAATCATTTAATGCTCTATGTTCATGTTTCCAGCACTCCTTAATCTGAAAAGGATCTTAGATCCCCTAAGTTTTCCCTGCCTATGTCAGTTTTGTCATTTCCAAGCACAAATAAAAAGGGAAAATTCTCAAAACATTTATGTGTGATTTCTTTCCTAAAATGACTGCCTATGGAGGCGGGTGAAGCCACCATCATTAACTACAAAAACATCATTCCTCAGTAAGAATACAAGCAATGGTTACAGTAACAGCACATACAAACATATATACCAATCTCATTTGCTGTTAGGAATGAGCATTCATGGCACTGAATTTATAATTTTCCTTGTTCATATTCATTTACATACTGGGCTTAATATTGAGTAGTCGTGAAAACAAGGAAAATCTTGAGAAAATCCTTGCCTTATTTCATGTGGAAACTGAACTAATGCTCTGCAAAATCCAACAACTTGGATGTTATAATTTGTTCACTTTCATTCATAAGTGTATACAGCACACAAATCTTTCACCAGGATGTAAAAAGCAAATAATTGCTTACCTGTCTTTTGGAATGCTCACTGTGTTCCCCAGGGATGTTGTGAGCACTTTTTATTAAACTCTTTGCAATATGATAGTAGTAGATACTGATAATTACAAGAGGGACAAGGAAATACACAAGGAAAAGCAGCACAGAATGGATCTTTGGGTGCATGTCATCCGTCATGGGGTATGGTATGCATGCTGTGAAGGTGGCATTATCGGTGTCATTGATGTGAGCCAGTTCGGAGAACACTGCTTCAGGAACTGCCAGGAGCATGGAGATTACCCAGATGGCAGTGGCTTTGAGACAAGTCCACAGCACTGCACTGGAGGTCTGGATGTCCATGGGATTTACAATTGCTTTGTACCTGAAATTGACCAAAATGCAGACACAAATTAAAAGGTATTCAAATTCAACATGCAATCTACAAGCTTACTTCATATCTTTGATAAAAACAATGTCATATTTTTTTCTAATTTGAAATGCCAAGGGACTTTTAATCTTTCTTTAACTCGCATTCTCTAAATCTCCACCTTTTTTTTTTTTGTATACACTCATCAGAGGAGGCAGAAGGAGACCCGGATACAACCTGTGTCTGTGGGTGCCCATTCTGTGCCAGTGTGGTGGAAGTAAAGAATCAGCCATGGCTCTACCCTTTCCTTCTTCAAATACCCAAATATCCACAAGTGCATCCTACTTCAATATTCCACGTGTACCAGCATATGCACACTTAGTGTTTCCTTCCTTCTTTCCTTGGCTCCTGAAGCCCAGGGCTCTCTTGCTGCCACCACAACTTTCCCACTCTAGGATACTCCCAGCCCCCCTCAGAGGAATATATGCATCTTCATAAAGTCAGGCATTTATGACTCCCAATGGCTGTGCAGAAAGTATAAACTCCCACATAAAGTAAACATTTCCACATCAATAGCTGGAAGCTGCTACTCTACACTGCATTTTGGAAAACTGTCTCATTACGTATGATTGCATATAAACCTTTGTGGAACTGATAATTTCATAGCCTCTGCAATGGAAACAGGAATAACTGCAGAGAATGGAAATATCACTCTAGAGCAAAATAAAATAAATTAGTAGAAGTAGACTTTGGTCAGGAATTTTTTTATTTAAAAAAATCATTCCAGGAGATGATACAAAGTCAAACTTTCCACAAGAAAATGTAATTGCTATAAGGACAAATAGAATTTGAGAAAAATATTTCAAGGATATCTTAAAACTCCACTTACATTTTAACTTATTTTCTTTTTTTTAATGTAAGTAAATTATGCTTCAATAATTGTATTAAAAACTAAATCTTAAAGGCTAAACAAAACATTTCATTTTGTCTAAACTGTGACAATATGGAAGCTCAGGGGATTTTTCTTAACTGCATTAATTTTCTTGTTTCTACTTTCAATTTGATTTGCTCTTTGAGAAGGAATCACAGCCATTGCAAAAGTGTTGAGAAATGGAAAAAATTATTCTTCTTTAATATTCAAGGAAAAGTTTAACAGGATAAGGAGAGTCAGTACAGGTTCATACTCCAGGTACATAACTTTGCTCATCCTCGAGTGTTTTAGTCTGTGAAGAAGTATGAATCACTTTCAAAGAGTGATTCAGATTTTAGGTATATTAAATCACCCTCTAGGGTGTTTGGGTTTTTTCTCTGCTAGCTGTATAATGAACTTAGATTAAGGAGAACAGTAAGCTAGATGCCTCTACTTTGTGATAAAATTCCATATCCACATGTGTAGGTAGATGCACATGTGTATAGGTGTATTAATAGGTACGGGGATGAGCAAGTGACTAAATACTTACCAAGGATTAGTTTATACCCAAATATGACTTGGTTGCTGAAGGGAATGCTGATAAATGGAGCTGTGATCCCAAACACCCCTCAGGGCCAATTTGCAGGTCCTGACAGGTAGTTCATAGCTCTTCAACACCTTAAGCTGATGTTTGCAACTGGCTATGCCATGAAAACATCTAGAGTAAAGCCCCTGCAACAGTACCCAAGGAAACCTTTCCTTCACAGAATATGTCAGTCAAAATGTGCCTTGGGGTTCTCCTTCTCAGGTTTGTGATAAATCATATAATCATTAAATAATTGAAAATAATAGCTATGAATGTTCATATCCTCTCTAAATTCAGAGAGAATTTTTACTGTATTTTCACCCCTATCATGGAGTAGAAAACAAAATTCAGCAAACTGTCTCTGTTAATTTATAGTTACCATTTCTGCTAACACGCAGTGAGAAACTCCCTGGACACCAAGGTGTAAAGAAAGCCTTTATATTGCCATAGGAAGGACAGAAGCTTCTGCCCAAAGCATGAATACTCCCCAGCACAAACTGTGACCTTATTATTCAATAATTGCTTCCTATTGCTGTCTGCCTTTATTTCATTACATAAAGACAGACCCTCTATTTCTGAGATGATGTCAAGTCCTTACATCTGCTCATTTTTTAAGAAGTTTGTGTTCTTAGGGAAGAGCCAGTTGGGGATTTTGGGGTAGGGAGAGGACACTGAATAAAAATAATGTTTTGTTGTACAGATTTTATTTCCTCTCCTTTTCCATTTCATTGCTTCAAAATATTTTGACCACAGTCCTATGACCCAAGTAAATGACCACATCACAAATAATTCTTTTAGCAGCAAATGGGCCTAGTTAATCTCTAAATGGAAGAATTTTTCAGAAGTCTTTACATAAGCAGAAGATGTGACATATATCTGTACTTTGGCATATATTGCTGTTTCAGCAAATAGTATGCTTTTCCCTGAGCCATAAATTCAAGTGGAAAGGCATTGAAGCAGAGTGCCCTTTTTCACAAAACAGATGAGTTTAGTGCAAAACAAATCCCTCCTTTCATTCAACTTGCTACTTTAGTGGCTACAAGGTGGCACTCTTCCTAGGACTCAGCCCTTCACCATACTCAGCGTCAAGAAAATGCACTGTGCTTCACTTGTCATCTTGTTTATATCTCTAAAAAGCTATAGAGTGAAAAGAAACAGGTTACAGATAAAATGAAATGCAAACTGAGTGGAATGAGAAGTGTTCCCAAAGTGAAAACCCAACCTCTTCCTTTGTATAAAACCAGTGTAAAGCAAAAATATACCACCAACCATTCAAATTACAAAGACAATATTTTTCATCAATTAAAAAAAAATGTCAGTAAATTGGACTAACAGTGCAAATTAGTCAAATTAGTAAGTAAATTCATCTTTTCTTTTACTTCCCTGATGAATAAGAGCAAATTATAGGCTGCCATGAAGTCCAGGAAATAATTATAAATATGTACTTGGTTTTAATTAAAAGCCATCAAGTAAATTCTGTCTCCCTATATCCTCTATCATTATCACTGCTGACAAAGGGACCCCAACTCAGGAAACTCTTCCTGCCTTTGAAGCTGTTTTCTGCCAACAGATACAAGCACAAACTTGCCCACTCTCCTTCAACAGATTGCTTTAAAATGGGAAAAAACTATACAAAAAACCCAATCTCCTTCCTTCTACACAATCCCAAAATAAATTCATGAAAAGAATATCCTCTTTCTCCAGAGATTTAACATTTTGCTACCTTCTAAACTCCAATCTATTTTATCTACTTCTCCTGACCTTTGTTTTCAAAGACTTTCTAAAGGTATTTCTCAGCTCCAAATTAGAATGGAAAGCTCTACTCCTGTTTCTGCTGCATCTACAATGCTGTTTCCCTCCCACACAGCTGGTTTCAACAGAAGGTGCTCCTTTAATAGACCTGTGCTGTCCTTCCTTTGCTTTCCTACCTCTTCTTCTAGAGTACCTTTTTGTGATGACCTTAAAAAAACTAAAAAGAAAACCCCAAAATAACTAGTCAATACCCAGGCAGCCACTGGAAAATAGCCTACCATTCTAACTCAATTAGCCTCAATATCTCCTTGCCCTTTTGATTCTGCATGGTCTCTTGTCCTTTTTTAAAAGTCCTTCAGGTCAAGGACTTCCTTCTTCTTGCTGTTTATATAGTACCTACCACAAATAGGACCCTAAATTATCACCTAATTTCCTACATGACATCACAATGAAAATAAATATAATGAAGTGTCAGAGGCCAGGCAGAGAAGTTTCACATTACTTTGATTTTCATTTTAATCCTGGAGCTGGGGGCTATTAGCCTCATTATAAATAAACTTTTTAAAGTGATGTTGTTGTGTCATTGTACTGCATTTCCTGCAAACTAGAGTAATTTATCAAAACCATTCATATGTTAGTCTTTTATTGTGTCCCTGCATGGTGCTTTCAAACACAAAAATTTTAACAACATAAAAGCTTATAAATATATCCAAAAAGGAAACCTGGTTGTGAAATCAGTATTTGTTAAAAATACTCATATCATGTCCAGTTGCAGTCCACTCTACAGTAAAATGAAATTTTGGATGTTCCAAAGCCCTTTTCCTTGTATGGGCCCCTATTGGCCCAACTCCAGCTGAATCATTAAGAGCACAACAATTTATCTAGCTGAAAACATTGTGGTATCATTTTATCATTTGAATTGAGATGTGCATTGTTCTATTTCATTCTTATAAATTCTTGCAATGTAAGACACATTTCTCTTTTTTTTCCCAAGTAATTGTCGCAGACATTTTTTCATAGAAATTCTTTCTTTGGGATTAGTTCATCTTCTGAGAAGATGAGGCCCCAGAAGAAGAATGTAAACAATTGTTATCGGCTGCTGTGAAATGTAGCAGGTGCCCCTGTGATTGGATCATGTTCCGTGTTTACAATTAAGGGCCAATCATAGGAGTAAGCTCAGGGACAGATTCCCTGGACACAGAATTTTGTGATGCATTCTTTTCTATGCTGTTCTTAGTTTAGCAGCCTCTGCAACCTCTCTCCTTATTCCTTTTAGTATAGTTATAATGTATTACATATCATATATCAATAAATCCAGCCTTCTGATCATCAAACAAGATTCCGTCTCTTTCTCACCCTGAAGACCTTCATCAGGTCGCTGTAATAGGTAATATCAATACTTTTATTCTGTGCTTATCTCTTGAGAGCAAAGAATTGCATTTACTCAGGAATGAGCATCTCTGAGGTCTGATGGTGAATACAATAAACAGTATTTGAAATGCAGACTAGAAGACAATGTGCAAACACACTTAAAATCAATGTCAATGACATGTGTTCTGTGTTTCTCAGGGGGAAAATCTTAAGATTTTCCTAAATGGAAAAAGTTTTCCACTCTGTAAAAAATACACTCCGTTGAGCCAAAAACTGTCAATAATGGTTCAAATCTTGGTGATGTTTTCTCCACCCTGAAAAGAATCAAACCAGAAGTTTCCCAGGATGGTGGGAGGGTTCTTTTCTGCACGAAGTGTATTACCTGTCCTATCCACC